TGGGGGTTTTGGGGTTTTGGGTTCAGAATATGATTTTACAATAAAGCTCACCAGCAGCTATTTATCAACAAGTACACATGACTGTATGGAACAGGGTGCTATTGGGAAGTGCTATACCCTAAACCCTAAACCCTATACCCCTGGTATGCACTTTAAATGGGCGCTTCATCACCTTTGCTTCAACACCGACCCTCAGTGTGAGGGCCGAAGGGCAGACAAGACCAAGACACTAAGTCTACGTAGGTTTTCCAGTAACCCCTTAATAATAATAATACTAATAATAATAATAGTAATAATAGTAGTAATAGTAATAATAGTAATAATAATAAGGGTACCCTATTTCCTAATTTGTTCGGCTTTAATAAGGAGACCCCCCAAATAAAAAGGGAAATGGGGTACTACTGGGAAACCCAGAAGTCCCTAAGTCGCTCATGTTGACGCTCGCAACCCGAACCCCTCCGGAAGCTCACCAGAATCCCGGTTCGGGGCTTGGGGGGGTAGGGTTTCTAGTGAAGCTCATCATGAACAAGGAACGCCAACCTGAGGTTTTCACTCCAAGCTGCGCAACTTTCGGAATTGCAAACTCACCACCTGGGCTGGCTGAGGTGGTGGGCTTGGGATTTTGGGTGTTGAACGGTAGTCTGAACATCAAGAGCAAAAAGAGCCTCCAGAGCAACGACCCTACTTTTCGGGGATTCTTGTTTCAAAATGCCGGTATATAGGATTGCCAGGCTTCTTCAAAAGCAGTTCGTAGGATCTGGCAAGGAATAATGGCTGTGGCTGTGCTTCTGCCAGTACTTGAAGAGTCTGGCACTAGCCCGGCCACGCTAGCGGCACCAAGTTTCTTCACTCGACGAAAGAGATCCTTATGTAAGGTTCAATGTACCGACATGGTTTGGAAACACTTTTACGCAAAAGCATGAATTGTGCAACTACCTGGACATGTAGGGTATACCAGTGGGAAGGTGTTGCTTCAGGGCCTCCTCCCAACACTACCTAGCAACGATTCCCCACCAACTGCCTAAGAAACTCATGCCTACACGTTTAGACAAGATCGTAAAGCGCAAACCTCTTTCTTGGGGATTGCATAGGGCCACAGGGAGGCTGGTAGGTTTATAGGGTTTAGGATTTGGGGTGTAGAGCTCATGCGTTCAAGGTTTAGGAACTAAGGTTTCTTCTGGTGCCTACGTAGATCTTAGGGAAACTAAAGGCTAGACTTCGAGATTATAGGGGCCATCATGCCCCAAAACGGGTTAAAGGTTACTACTCGACTACGAAGGGTAATTCGACCCCCCCTTCCAGGCTCCCTTACCTGTAGTCTCCATTGTTGTTCCTTTTCGGGGGTTACCTTATAGGATCCTAACTATCAAATAGGAAAAAAACCCCAAAAAGGAACTGCAATGGAGATTACAGGTATTCTCTAGCTAATTGCCTTCTCCAGATCCCCAAACCCAAACCATCCCAAACCCTAAACGCTAACACTCGAAAAACCTCGTAAGCCTTAAATACTAAACCCCCAACTCCTAATCCCAAACCCCTGCCCTAAACACTAAACCCTAAACCCCCTAAAATACGCCCCATAGACCCTAGAGAAGAAACCCCGTTCACGCAAAATGAACGCGTAGCCCAAGGAGCGCTCGGGAGTTAGCCTATCGCTGAAGCACGGAGAGGGCACGCCCACTTGACTTGCGATGCTTCCCGACCTGCACTCTCTTCACTCCCTTCGAAGAAAATTTCACGCTAATAAGTTTACAGTGGAAAACAAGGGCTTTTCCCTCTGTTCGAATTTACAGTTCGCGGTGTAAGCTGTACGGGAAGAGGCTTTCGTGTAGGCCCTGGTATGACCGTTTAGTAGGGCTTCAAAGGGTGCTGTGCAGGCTTGTAGGACCTTAAACCTCAAACCCGCCGGCTCGCCAACAAGCTTACGGACCCAGGGTCAAAAGGAAGTAACAAAAGATAGGAGCCCTTATTAATTGGAATAGGGCTTTTGAGCACATTACGGTATCATTATAACAAGGAGCCCCAAAGGAATACCACGGGACATTTAAAGCGGAACTTGGGTCTTTTGAGGATTATATTGAGTGTTGACTGATGCCTTCCCATGGAGGGTTTTTGCAGTCTGAGAGGTACTGAATTTCGCGCTCAGTGCTTCGGGCTTTAGAGCTTTCAATGCGCTTTTCGTCTGCGACACGGTCGTCTGGGACTATACACCCCCAAAGCCTGAACTGTTGGGCTTAGGGTTTCGGGGTTTCGTCCAAGACACTTCAAAACCAATGGCTTTAAACAGAAAGATGCAGTTGATGATATAAATCCTTAGCAATACCCATAACAAGGAATATATACGTTATTTCCCATGGTTTAGGGTCCTTAAGTTAATGCTGAGGATTTGTATCATCAACAGCATGTGTCCGAATCCTCAGGATGGTTTTTTGGATACATGTTAAGGGTTTAACTAGGTTCCCCAGTAACCCCTTAATCATAAGAGTACCCTTTTTCCTAATAGGCGGCTTTAATAAGGAGCCCCCCCCCAGAGTAAAAAGGGCAAAAGGGTACTACTGTGGAACCTAGTTAAGGTTGCAGGATGTCAGAGTTTGGGGTCCAAGGAATCATGACTGAGTCAAGCAGTAAGGCTCTTGATTTAGGGTTTAGGGTTTAGGGGCCGGAGCCTCTTGGCTTTATTCTTCATCATCTCGGGGAAGCAGTTGGCCAGCGGCGACAACGGGTGAGGACTGCCTTCCGGGATGCGCTCGTCTAAGGTCAGTACCCTGCGAGGCCAGAAGACTTAGGTTCAGAGCTTTGGGTTTAGGGTTCAGAGCTTTGGGTTTAGGGGTTAGGGTTTAGGGGTTGGGGTTTGGGGTTTAGGGCTGTGGGTTTAGGGTTTAGGGGTTTAGGGTTTAGGGCTTTGGGTTTTAGGGTTTAGGGGTTGGGGTTTGGGGTTTAGGGCTTTGGGTTTTAGGGTTATAGGGTTTAGGGTTTAGGGTCTTCTGGCAGCTTGGGGGTGTCGGCTGGCGGCTTTCGGGTAGGTTCAGTGCTCCAGAGCGCGAATGATGGAAGCTTAGGGTTTAGGGTTTAGGGTTTAGCGTTTAGGAACCACGACCCTGAACATCACCATGCGCATCACGAAGATGTTTTCGGTAATGACCGCCACCAGAACAACGTAATCATAATCCTCCTCCTCCTCATCGTCGTCCTCATCAACATCATCGTCGCCGTCGTCACCGTCATCGTCGGTTCAGAGCAGAATACGGATCCGAAAAGAAACCCTGATGCAGTGAGGCTCCCGTGTGAAGCTGATTCCGAAATGAGCCCCGTCCTAAACCCCAAACCTTATTCACCAACTCCACAACCCTCCCCTGCCGCCTAAGCCCACAACTCCAAAACCAAAGCCGTACCTTAACCCCTAACAACCTCCGTTTTTATGGTCCACAAAAGAAATCACCATATGGGACCCCAAAAGGTCTTTAGGGACCCAGGACCCTGACTAACACATGAAGATGTAAACAAACAACCTTTGCAAACAAACGCTTCGAACCCCTATACAGCTCGATAGAACTCGATCAAAAGACCTTGCTGGTTAAGTGTATACGAACTGAAGGTATCGAACAACTGAATCATCTACCGTTGAAGCGCTTCAATGACCATAAACCCTAAACCCTAAACCCTAAAGCCCAAAGCTGGCTTCAATGACCGTAAGCCAAGAATCCGGCCTGCGGGTGGTGACGGGGTTGTAGGCACGTGCGGAGTCTGGGATTGGATCGCTGGGTGTGCTCGAGAGGTCTGACCCAGGACCATAACTATCGCCACAATATGTAGTGCCTATACAACTCACACAAAAGAACCCCAGCTCTAGTCACTCTAGTCATTCGGATATAGTTCCATTCAAACAGTTCAGTCCACTTTGTGGGCAGTTCTCGAGCTTAGGGTCCGTTTTTTTGTTCCCCCCCAGCATAATCCGGCACCCTCAACCCCTGAACCCTAAACCCCAAACAACAGGACCTTAAATCAACTACCGATCTTGGACTTGCCTTCCCCCCAGGGCCCCGGGGCCAGAAACACCTAGAGAGGCTTGGGGCAAGCAGGTTGGGGGCCCGGGAACGTGTTTAGGGTTTAGGGTTTAGGGTCTACTGTTGATGATATAAACCCATAGCATTACCTTAAGGACCCTCAACGATGGGATTTATGGTATATACTGCTTGCTATGGGTAATGCTAAGGATTTAGATCATCAACCGTAGTGGTGTAGTTGTAATTAATGGTCATAGAAGTCATTCAAGCAAAATCGTGAAACTCTAAATGTCACAGGCCGAAAACACCCTCTAATGAATGCCGAGCCCTCAAGGGGTGCAGATGCCTGACAATCGGACTTTCTCCCAAATCTTAAACTTCTAGTACTACCAACCTAAACCACTGCATCAACTCATGGACCGTATAAAGCACCATCTCCTCATTAAAAAACCCCAAACCCGCAACCCTCAAAGCCCGACACCCTAAACCCGAGGCCTTGAACCCCGAACCCGATCAGAACTTCGGGGCCGAGCACCTTAGCCCAAAAAAGGCTAACCTTTTGAAATATCATAATATAATAGGTTTACATAAGCCCCCAAAAGGTTAAAGGTTACCTACTCAGCCCCTAAACCCTAAACCCAAAAAGCCCTAAAAGCCCCAAAAGCCCTAAACCCCTAAACCCTTTAAAGGTTACCTACTCAGCCCCTAAGAGAACAAGGTGGAAGCCAGTCCTCGAGTAGGTTCTTCGCATGGCTGTCCTGGCGGCTTCCAGGCGTCAGAGTTTAAGCGTCTGCGGTTCAGGGCTTGAGGGGTTAAGGTTTAGGATTTAGGGCGTCTAGGGCTTTTAGGGGTTTAGGGTTTTGGGGTTTTGGGTTTAAGGTTTTCGGGTTAAGGTTGTAGGCTTTTTGGGGTTTAGGGTCACGTGCGTAGGGTTAGGGTCTAGCGTAGGTCCTTGGGTTTCGGAGCCTTGAGTCCTTACCAGGATCGCGAGAGGTATCCTTAGAAGACCCTATTGTCCGTTTAAGAGATTAGGACTAGGATCCAGAGGCTTTGAGGCCTTCGGGTTTTGGGCTCTGTCCCTTTGGAGTGTTGGGGCTGAGGCTTTAATGCTGAAGATCGTGTCAGGATGGTGGGTGAGACAAATCTTCGACTCTCTCGCACTTGCCTGAGCGATATGTGATGCGTGGAGTTCCCTGCTCGTAGCACACAGATTCGGGTCAGTCTGCTTGAGACTTCGCCGTTGCTTCATGAGATCCGGGGTGCAGGGCTGATGGTTCATCCTGGACAAGGATTCAGGGATGCACAGAAATCTTTCGTCACAGGGTTTGGAGGTTTGCGTCAGATCCCCGATGATGCCAATATGCACTGGCACTGATGCTTAGGCCCCTAGCCCCGCGATCTTGCACCAACATATCTCACCCTAAACCCTAAACCCTGGCTTTCAAAACGGATCGACATCGCTGCTCCACCACGTTTCCGCGAAGCCGAGGCGAAGAGGCCGCATCCAAGAAAAGCCTGAGCCTGAAGCCCTACATGCCCGAACCTGGTTTAGGGTTTAGGGTTTAGTGTGAATGGTAGTTGCATGGACAGAAAAGTCATGTGTGAATAGGGTCCTCTGCAAGATAAGCGGTACTCAGTAGTTTCTGCTCTTTGAGGTTCAGACATGGATGGCCCTCCTATGAAGATCCGAACACGTATAATGTAGGGGCCTTAATAATAATTAGATCTTGTGGTATATTATATACTACAACTATAATAAGGAGCCCCCCAAATAGGAGAGGTAAACAACACCCCTTTCTTACACCGTTTTATGTAGGACCCAAAGGACCGGTTTAGGGCCTAGGGTTAAGGGAGGGCATGGGCGGTGTCGAAAACCTCAAGCGGTGAATCCCTAGGGTCTACCCTTAGCATCAAAATAGCCACAAAACCCTCAAAAAATCGGGTCTTTGGGCCCAAAACGCCTCCAAAAAATAGGAGTCCTTTGAGGGTAAGGGCTAGAACCCTAAACCCTAAACCCGAGAGAGCAGCCAGCCTGCGGAGTCTGCATGCGCATGTCGTTCCTGTAGCCTCGAGAGGGGGCCCCACAAAAGCGGATCCCAGGGCAGGTATCGCAGACCCAAAGGGTCCCACGGTTTAGGGTTTAGGGTTTATGGGTTTAGGGTACTACTTAGTGGCTATTTGGGCCCCAAAATGCATACTATACTAGTACTTGGACCCTTTGGGAGAGTTTGGGAGAGACCAGGTTTCTTATGGGCAGTACCCATAGGCCCCTAAGTAGGTCCTTTTTATGGTTTAGATTTGGAATCCTATAAGGTAATTCCAAAAAGGAACAACTTAGGGGCCTATGGGTAAATCTGCTAATTACATGGGCGCCTTTTCCGAAATTCAATTTGTGACCGGCGAAGCCGGTAAGAGCCATGAACGCTGAGGATCATATCTGGCCCTACAATGTTCTGCCTCGTTTTGGCTTGAGGGCTTAGAACTTGAATGCTCCTGATGGTGTTAATCAGAAACTTTGGGGCCGAGTACCTTAGCCCAAAAAAGGTTAAGCTTTTGAATTATAATAGGTTTATATAAGCCCCAAAAGGTTAAAGGATACCTACTCAGCCCCGAAGGAAAAGTAGGTCCTCCAGACATGGAGCACTCCAACTCACCATCTAGGTGAGTCCTTCGGTCTCCGGCCAGCATCCACACCCCTAAGACAAAACACATCTTCCACTAAACATATTGGGGGCAAAAACTATTTTTCCCTATAAACATATTGGGGGGAAAGACATATTTTCCCCAATATGTTTAGCACCCACGCCTCTGAGACAAAACCAACATTCCAGAGTGCGGCCTTCAGAATCAGACCAAAACTCTGGGGAATTTATTGGAACTTAGGTGCTGAGTTCGCAAGCATAAACCAAGTATACACTTTCAGTTCTACAAGGGATCATATGATCCCAAAACGCTTAGAGTGTAGTAGTTCAGCTGCTCAGGGTATAGTCATTCGGGCTGTAAGGGAACAACAAATACTAATTTCTGTGCCACGGTTTAGGGTTTAGGGTTTAGGGTTTGGAGTTAGGATTAGGGGGACCCTTGAGGATATAGACCCTCTCAATAAGGTCCCTTGTCAGAGAGCTACAAGGTAGGGTTAAGAAGGGTCCCCTTTAAGGGGTCTCCCTGCGGTTGATGATATACAGCCTGCATAACCCATAATAAGGAATATGCCATAATTCCATAGTTTAGGATCCTTAAGGTAAGGCTAAGGATTTACATCATCAACAGTACTACTAAACCCAGGATTCTCTTCTCATCCTGCCCAACAAGATCTTCCAAATTGAGATCCTCGGGTTTGGGCCATAGGCTTCATTATGGGGTTTAGAGGTTTAGGGTTCATCAAAGGGTTTAGGCGCCATAGGGGTTTGCGCATTATGGGGTTTTGGGGTTTGGCTTAGGCCATAGGGGTTAAGGCTTCATTACAGTGTTTAGGGGTTTGGTTTAGGCCATAGGGGTTAAGGCTTCAGTATAGGGTTTAGGGGTTTCGGGCGCTTGAGCCGATCCTGGACCTATCAACGCCCAAAACTTGAAGCCTCAACTCCGAGACTCAAAACCCGAAGAACCAAAACCGAGGACCCTGAACCCGAACAACTAAAACGCTAAACCCTGAACCCTACACCCTAAACCCTAAATCCTAAACCCTAAACCCTGAACCCTATAAGCCCCTCAACTTTAAAGGCGCAAGTATTTACCAAAACGCACCACCTGCAAAATAACTGTCACACATCACTGGGTGCTTTGGGCATGTAGGCTTCGCCATAAAACCCCGGTTCCGGACTTGTGAGCCAGTACGCTGAAGACTCCTAAGGCTCAGCTTGCTTAGGCTGTACTTGGACCCTTACGAACCTACCTTTTTCAGGGCTTCTTACTATGATTTCTGTCTGTTGTCCTTAAAATGTAGGTTATTTAGGGTCTACGCAGGGCTTGGGGCTTGTAAGGCATTTTAAGCCTTAGGGTAGGGGTTGCGCTATGTTCTACTCAGGTGTTGAACAGTTTCGAGGGTATGCGTGGCGGGTTAACCAGTGCAACAGCATATGGTGCCTTGAAGCGCAGAAACACGTTCTACAAAGGGTTCATGTACCTGCATAGTATATACCTTGGCTGTTCCGATGTGTGTGTGTGTATAATATATATATATATATGTATATATATATATATCTTATATGTATAGATATAGATAGATATGTATGTACTTTGAAGCCGATGTATGTTACATAACTAGTTACATAGGTACAGGGGCCCTTCGGAGAAGGGAGCTATCGTGTTCAGTATCGAGGCTGCTTCTACTGACCAGCCCTAAACCCTGCTAAGAACCAGACATGTAAGTACGGTTTCGGGTTTAGGGTTTTGCTTCTGGCTACATTGTCGTCAGGGTCTTGTAGTATGGAAATAGAACAGACAAATCATCAATCTGAATCTGAAGCTTGAGGTGAGCCGAAAATTTGAAACCCCTGTTTAGTTTGGAGGATCAGGGAACGAAGTAGGTAGATCTATGCGCTCCATGAACAGGGCTATAAACAATTTGCCACAGTCACCATACTTACAACCCATCATAACCCCAGTTGCTATGTCCCACGGTAATGTACGACACATCTCAACGCAAGGCCCTTGCAGTTTGTCATGGGGCGAGTGACATTCCGCCAAACGGCGATGCAGCTCCCAGAACGACTCAGGACTGGCACGCAGGGGTAGTTTTTTGAGGGCTTGAAGTTGTGATTTCGGAGTGAGGAATTAGCAAAAGGGGTCCATGTGCCCGTGTAGTATGCACTGCTGCCGCGACGATGTTCTATATAGGTAAGTCAAAGACGTCAAAGTATGTGTTGAATCTGTTTCGGGGCTCATGATGGCAAGGCTTTGGGCTCAGGGCTGTGGGCTTGAAGCTTGTGGTTTGCTAAATGGGATAAGAAACGAAGCAGTGTAACTCGAACCGTGGATTCCATAGTTAATTTTAGGGTTTAGGGGCTTAGGGTTTAGGGGTTAGGGTGTCCCACGACCCCTGCAGTAGTTTCTCTGTTTGCAGAGTGGTGGTTCTGTTGGCGGGATTGTGGCCGACCCCCCTGAGACCTAAAAGCCGATAATAGGTGTTGGGCTTAGGGTTCTAAAATCCTGCACCCGTCATACTCATGCACGCAAAATCCTGCCGGTAACATTCGCCATTCCAAGCCTGCCAACCCTAGGCACCTAAACCTGGGACTCGCGAGTTTTTTTTCGCGGGTTTTGGCAGCGGGATTTGAAGCATCGCGCTTGCTCTCCGGGACTTCTTAATTCAAGAGGGGTTATTAGGGCTTGGGAGGAAATTAGGGTCCAACATGCCTTGTAACAGCCATAGCCTCCCCTCTCCTCTCCCCCCAAAGATACACCCGTGTAAGCCCGAATTTTCGGGGTGAATATTCATGCTTGCGTGAGTCTTCCGATGAAAGGCGCGGTTTGGGAGGTTCGGAGGTTTCAATCCTTTCGGGCGTTATGGCTTAGGCTTTTGGGGCATTATAGGATTTAGGGTCTATAATATATAAGGCTTAGGGTTTAGGGGTTCAGCTTAGTGTTCTCAGGGCCTATACCTCCCGGGCTTCAGGGCTCGAGTCTTCCAAGTCTTCGACTTCAAAGGTTCCGATGAATGCAAGAGGCTGAAACTCTGCCTGAAGAACCCTAGGCCTTGCCCCAAACCCCCAAAAACAGCAGCCCCCTAAAACTCTAAAACTCTAGAGAACTACAGCTCAAATCCACCAAAAGAGCTACACAGAGGCAAGTCAAGAATCTGAGTTAGCCCGAAGGGTCCAAGTACCTAATAATCGTATACTCTTCTGAACACCAACCTGCAAAACTACTGTCCGTAACCCAAGTACATGATTATTGGGTCCTTTGGACCCTTAGGGCAGTCTCCTCCCATCTCCTTATTTGGTTCTTAGTAGGGAATGGGGGAGGGAATGGGGGAGTGGTTTTTGGGGGACTACTATAGGGGACCTTAAGGGACTATCATAGGGATCCATGCCCCAATTCCCCTCTAAGAACCCAGGGGAAACCCTAAACCCTAAGCCCTAAACCCTAAACTCTAAACCCTAAACCCTAGACTCTAAACCACCAGGGTGTGTAGCCCTAAACCACCTTAAATCCTTAAGCCCTCTTAGTTCCCCTCTAAGAACCAGGGAGCCCTTTCATCTCCTCCTGTTCGAGGTTTTGAGCCTCTGTTAGTCAACTAGGAACTCCCTGGTTCTTAGAGGGAATTAAGAGGGCTCAAGGATTTAAGGTTTAGGGCTACAGCCTGGTGGTTTAGAGTTTTTGAGTTTAGGGCTTAGGGTTTAGGGTTTACCCTGGGTTCTTCGTAGGGAATGGGGGAATGGATCCCTATGATAGGCCCTTAAGGTTTGCTTTAGTGGTCCCAATAATCCATTCCCCCCATTCCTCACTAAGAACCAGTCAGACTAGGTGATTTGGAAGTGCCAAAAGCCTTGACACTTGCCAAGGGCTTCTCCTGCAACCCTAAACCCTAACCCTATTCCCTATACCCAAAGCCCTAAACCCTAAGCCCCTAAGCCCCTAAACCCTAAACCCTAAGCCCTAAGCCCTACACCCTAAACCCTCGAAGGACCTGCGTGGGGCCAGGACGTGTGGTCAGTTGGGGTTTCGAGTGCGGGGTGGGGGGTTTTGAGGCTCTCTGGGTTTAGGGCTTAGTCTCGCAACTCGTTAGGATTTAGGGTTTAGGATTTAGGGTTTAGGATGTAGGGTTTAGTGTTTAGGATCTAGGGCTAGGGGTTTAGGGTTTAAGATGTAGGGTTGAGGGGTCAGCTAGTTGTAGTGCAGGGCTTGGGGCTTCAGAGACTCTTGGCAACTGGGGTGGTGCATAAGGTATATGAAAACGACGATGATACTCATTTACCATTCTTGGCTCCAGTCAAGGCAACCTTGCCTGGTAAGTCCCCTGACCCTTCAAGTCGGGCGTAGAGTTTAGCAGATCCCGCCTGGCATGTCTCGCTGTGGGAATCTCTGAATCTTCAGAATCATTCTGTGCCAGCATTTGAGACGATCGGGACATGTCGTCTCGTGAAAGAGCTCTACCCTTTCCGATCGGCCATTCTGGGCCTCGAGCCGCATAAACTCGCCATGTACGCCGTATTTTCGAACCTGCTACTTGGGTCTGATGGTACACCCATAAATACAGATTTAATTTTGTAGTTCAGGTCAAGCTTGTAGGGTCCATGTGGCGCTAGATCGGAATGGGCATAGCTACATTGGCTACATATGTTCCCAAAGATACAATTACAAGCAGGACAGCCGCTCACATACTCAAACGGTTCGCGTCAACCCTTCACAGTGACAGTCCTTCGACCCGGGATCCGAACTCCCAAACTTTCTATTCCCCCGACCCACACCTTTGTGTCACCCGGAGCAGACAAGCGGCCAGCTGGAACAGCCCTGGCAAAGAGAGTAGATCCAATGCCTTTCCCCATAGCATCCAAATAGGGGTCTTTGGGCCCAAAAGCCGTAACATATGAGTAAGGATGGGCCCAAAAGCCGTAACATATGAGTAAGGATTTCAAACCGAACCAACTGACACCAATCCTAATACAGCACCCCGAACAACCCCATGAAGCCTCTGAGTAAAACCTACCCCCGACCCCTGAACCGCGGCCCCCAAGTGGAACGAATAGAGGGAGCCCTAAACCCTAAAACCCTAAACCCTAGGCCCTAAACCCGACATAAGCCCTCGGCTCACCAACATCCCAATCAGATACAAGACCTGATTCGATTTAGGGTTTATGGTTGGGGATGTAGGGTTGAGGGTTTAGGGTTTAGAGTGGAGGGCTTAGGGTTGAGGGGTTCGGGGTTAATGGGGTCGGCATTCGGGGTTTATTTAGGGCTGAAGAGGTTCGGGCTTGGGGTTGAGGTATGGGGAACCAGTGACAAAACCATCCAAAAAACACCCAACAAACTTAGTGCATTGTCCCCATGGCACCACAGTACAGTTCTGGCCGAAACCCTAAACCCCGAACCCCAAATTACCTATAGTCTCCATTGTAGTTCCTTTTTTTGGTTTAACCAATTCTATATTCAGGATCCTAAAAGGTAACCCCAAAAAGGAACTACAATGGAGACTATAGGTAGTAAACCTCCACCATGATCTCTATAGTCATGGCGCCACATTCGCCGCGCCGGGGCGTTGCGATGCAAGAGCGAAGAGGAGGGCGAAGGCTAATCTGCGCTGGATGTTCGGGTTCGTGGCATCTAGGAATTCTGGAATTTGAGGTAACCAGGGAGAAAAAAGTATAGACTTTTATTTTATAATGGTTCCTTTAAGGAACAGGTCCACTAAAAACGTATTCAAGTATGGTACTCCAGAACCCAGAATTTGGCCTTGTCGAGTTACTTGGATCTCGGGGCTCTAGGGTGTACCAAAGATGTAGGGCTTAAGGGTCTAGGAGCCCAGGGGTTTTAGGGTATAGGGCCTAGGATTTAGGGTTTAGGGGTTTCGGGTATAGGGCCTAGGATTTAGGGTTCAGGGGTTTAGGGTATAGGGCCTAGGATTTAGGGTTTAGGGGTTTAGGGTATAGGGCCTAGGATTTAGGGTTTAGGGGTTTAGGGTGTGTTGACCTGTAGTCCAACCACCTACAACTTCTCAAGGGTTGTACCGTCATTGTCATGGTCCCCCTTGCTGCTGGCATTTCCGGTCGCGGGATCCCGAAACCCCTAAACCCCTACTGTTGATGATATAAATCCTGCATTACGTTAAGGACCCTAAACTATGGGATTTGTGGTTTATATTCCTTATTCTGGGTCATGCAGGATTTGTAACATCAACCCTATCAGGATTGCTGGCTGGGCCAGGCGGGATCGCTGATTTCCCCAACAGGTCTCCACGATTGCAGACCTATTCATGCGAAAAGTCTATAAACCAAAGTACCGAATCCTTGGGCCATTGCTGGGTACTTGGACCATTCGAGGTGCGGTTCAAATTCCGGACTACCCTAAACCCTAAACCCCAA